ACAATAAATTGTTCGTCAAATCAAATATAATAATCCTAATCATGATGCTAGCAACAAGAATAATAAGAGTAATTAAGTGATTAATTACTCACTTTCCGCGTTTCCTTGAATTTCTACATCATGAATAAATTGTTAGTAACTTCAATAAAAAAAAAATCAAATGAAAATTAAATTAAATTAAATAAAAAGTAGAGTTGATTTGGTCCAAACCCTCAGTTATTTGTACCTTTCACGCCTTGGTTTAAGGACGGAACCTCGGGTTAAGGATGGACTCCTTGGAGTGCTTAGGGGAAGAATGGTGTAATTAGGAATATAGATTTAAGGCTTAGAATATGAGAGAGAGAGAGAGAGAGAAGAAGAAGAAGAATGATTTTTGGTGTAAAAGAGAGGAAGAGAGAAGGATTTGATGCCCCGAACTGCAGAAATGAGGGTCTTATTTATAGGGAAAATGAGCAGAGAGAACACATAGAACCCTAAAAAGATAAAACCCTAAAAACTAATGCGGCGACACGACAAAATGCACCGTGACACGGCAAAATGCACTGTGACACGGTACACTTTAGTGTGACGCGGGGAGATTTGGTGTGACGCGGGACATATTTGACCTACGGGAAGTGAAAACGCGTGAAGGGTTTACGCGGAAAAGACACGAGAAAATTCCATGACACGGCACACGTACCTTGACACGGCAGTTTCTACCATGGCACGATACAGTACACCGTGTCATGGTATGGGAAAACGCGGAAATTACACGTAAAAAGCACCGTGACACGGTGAGAAATACCGTGTCATGGCAGCAGGTACCGTGCCACGGTGGATTTTCACGCGAAAAAGCTTTGAAAATAGCACTGTGACACGATGTAACTACCGTGTCACGACACCAGGCACCATGCCACGTCAGCAGGCTCCGTGACACGGTGCTTTTATATTGTGCGCGTTAATTCCAGTTTTTTACCTATTTTTAAAATCATCATAACTTTTGATCCGTAACTTGGAATAAGGCATATAATATATCATTGGAAATCCTATAAAGTCTACTTTACAACACAATTAGAATTAGGTCAAAATGATTTTTAAATTTTAAGATATGGCTGTTTTAATTGAAGGGTGTCGGTTTTGGGCCGAGTTTAGTGTTTTGCTCATATCTTTTTCGTTATAGCTCGGAATTGGGCTTATGATATATGGTTGGAAAGCTTATTTCAAGGAATATCCAACCAAATAATAATTGGATCAAAATTATAAGACAAAAAAATCAGTTTCTCTCAGTTTTGCGATGTGGACACGAAAAGTAAAAAGTAATATATGGTTTGGTGAAATGAGCAAGGAAATGGATTGATTTATGAAATGTATTGAATGGAAACATGGATTTAAGCAGTCCAAAGATTAAATACTCAATTCGACCAATAATGGCGGTGAAAGGTTGTTCGTCATCGGGTTTGGTTTCGGGGAGACATTTTTAGGTGTCTACAATAATAATCAATAGTCAAATTCAATAAAACCAATTTCTCATTAAAATCCAATTCCTTTAAAACCAATTCCTCACCCAAGTGTGCACACCCCCTCAAGTTAGTCTCCTTATGTTACAATGCTATTCTTGAGGAAAGACCCGGTCATACAAAGTCCAAGGCCTTATTAATAAACCAAATCTGCGTAGTGGGATTACCAACATGCTTGTAAGCATTAATTCAATAATAATTCAATGATTCAATAAATCCTTTTTAAATCCAATAATTCCAACCTTTAATAATAATAATTCCAAAACTCCCACGAATCACTTTCGCAACCCAGATTTGAAATTGAAAAACTGAAAGGTGGTCTTCTTCTTCCATTGATGAAAATATGTTGAAGGAGGAGATAAATATAATTGGGGAATGAGAAATGAAGAATGAGATCGAGAGAAAGATGATGAGGATGAATCTGATTTTTGATGAGATGAGATGAGATAATTAAGTTGGATTAGGGTTGGAGAAGGTTTTGCGTGAGACCGTTTCACGTGAGTCCAATTTATAATGAACACCCATCCAACTTTAAAGACGGCGAAAAAAAGGCCAGAAGCAAGATCGAAGAAAACGATCCAAATGATGATGATGAAGGTGCCACAAAGAAGACAATTCAAATGATTATGATGGAGGTGTCGCCGTTGACACAGGAAGATCGAAGCATATAGAAGTAGGATCTCGAAGAAGACGATCCAGATGATGATGAAGAAGGTGTCGCTAAGAAGACAATCCAGATGACGATGAAGGTGTCGACTACAAGAATTGGAAAAGATTTGATGATTTTCCATTGAGTAGTATGAGCCATTAAATAGACTTACTGAAGTAACAAACTAAGGTAAGATAATAACAAGCTAATTAATAAAAGCAAAAGATAATTACATAAAAGAATACATATCTACATCTAGTAACTAAGTGATAAGCACTGACTATAGTAACAATATGATAAACGTAGTAGTAGCTATAACAACTACTGTATGATTTATCTTCAACACCGACGTGCCACCATTGACATACAAGCATGGTGAGTGATTCTTCAACCATTGAAAAGCAAATTTTGTCTAATATCTGATAATATCATCTAATTTCTGGAAGGACTCTTCTCTCTCCTAACCCTAGCCGTCCACCCCAAAAAACCAAAATTTTGGGGGCTGCCATGGATGAAAAATTCCATGGTAAGCCCCAAATCTCCTTGTTAGTTTATTATTTATGCTGTTTTTTAATAGCATGTTGGTCAATAATTGAGTCTCTCATTATGAGAGTTAATTATCCTCTTTTTGGGGTAATGAGTCCTCTTCTGAGGGTTTGTTGTGTTCTGTCTTTATGGCATTTTTGTGGTACTGTTTCTTTTTGTAGGGTTAAAGTAGTAGGGAAGATGATGATGGTTCAAGAAGGTATAATTTATGGTACAATTTCTCCGTTCAAGACAGCTATAGCACAGGTTGTGATGATCTCCGCCCGTAAAGATGCACAGACATCGATGTTAATGAGGATTTTCATCTTTGATTCCATCCTGCGCTCAGGTATGCTTTCATTTAGTTGTATTGGATGTGAATCTTGTTTCCGTATTTTAGATCTTATTGATTTATGTACTCATATCGAATGTAGATATCGTATGGCTACTTGTTAATGAAATTTATCTTTCCTTGTTAAAAAAAAAAAAAAAAAAAAAAAAAAAAAAAAAAAAAAAAAACTAATTTCTAACCAATAGCATCTAATTTCTGACCAATATCATTTAATATCTGACCAACTTCATCTATTTTTTGACCAATTTCATCTAATTTCTAACCAATATCATCTAATTTATGACCAATATCATCTAAGGGCATGTTCACATTTACTGAATTGAGCTGAACTGAACTAAACTGATTGGAGCTGAATTGAACTGAACTGATTGGAGCTGAACTGAACTGAGTTGAAATGAATATTTTATGAGAGAGAGAAATTAGGAGCTGAACTGAATTGTACTGAACTGAACTGATTGGAGCTGAACTAAACTGAACTGAACTGAATTGATTGGAGCTGAACTGAACTGAACTGAAATTAAGTAAATGTGAACAGACCCTAATTTCTGACACTTTTAATTTAATATCTGATATTTATAACTTAATATCTGACCATTATTATCTAATTTCTGACAATTAAGAATTTTATTTTAAATCTGTTTGTATGACCGGACTCACGTGAGTCTGTTCTATACAATACTTTTCCTTAGGGGTTATGATGATTTGTAATTATGGGTGATAATATGTGTTAATAATTTTTAAGTGAGGGTATGTTGTTCATTTTGATATAAAAAAAGGCAAAATCTAACGAACGCCCGAGGGCGTTGGATAAGCTAGTCAAAAGTAGAAAGATTAAATTAAAATGAATATTAATTACACCGATCGACGCGTGATTTTATCATGCATTCCCAAATTAATATTACTTTTGGTAATACTTTAAATTCTTATCCAACGCCTTAGAGGCGTTCGTTAGAGCACCCACAATGGTGGGGGTGGCTCACAACTTTCTCTTCCCTACTTTTTCCCCTCCACATCATATTCCACTACCTTGAGACACTCCCTTTATTTTTCCTACAATGGTGAGTAACCCTACCATTCTCTCTCCTACTTTTATCAATACCCCACCATGTTTTCTCTCTCCTACCAATGGAGTTTATGTTTAATTATTCTTCTAATAAACATATTAGTCGAACTAATGACATCTATAAGTTCTTGAATTTGTCATTAATTTAGTTTACGTAATAATTATTTGTACTAATTATCAAAGTATTCATAATAATGACATGATTAATTTAAATATTATTAAAAAAATTGAAGACTTTATTATTATTACTCTTAAAATAACAATATCACATTTAATTTATAGATGAAAATGAAAAGAGGTTTCAAAACACGGGAAAAATTAAAATGAAAAAAAAATTACATAAGAAAATAATTATCCGACTACTTGATATCGTCATTCATTACCAAAACGACTCCATACGTGCTCAACCAAGTCTTTTTTCAATGACACATGAGTCTCCCTGTCTCGGACATTATTTTTGTTTGCCATGTAACCCGCTAAACTGAGATTACGTAGTCGTCCTTCTCTCCCAGTGAATGGTTGGTTAATATCTTGGTTTAAAGATCCGGCTATATTTTGAGTTTGATCAGTGATAAATTCAGATGCATCGTAATGCAAATAGTTTTCTCGCTCATCTTGAACAATCATATTGTGATTGTGCATGATAATGCATGCCATTATAATTTTCCATAGGATTTTTGTCGACCATGCGAGAGCTGGTTGCCGTGTTATTGCGAATCGAGCCTGTAACACTCTGAAGGCACGTTCAACATCTTTGCAATAACTTTCTTGCTTCCTCGTAAATAATCTTTGATTAGCGGTTTGTGGAAGCTTGATGGCTGGGATAAATGCTGCCCATTTTGGATATATACCATATGTAAGGTAGTATTCCATATTGTATCTATTTCCATTCACATTAAAACTCACCTATGGGGCTCAACCTTCACAAATATCATCGAACATTGGCGACCGTTGGAGGACATTTATATCATTTAGTGAACCAAGTGTGCCAAAAAAATCATGCCATATCCACAAGTCTTTGGAAGCAACAACTTCTAAATTTATGGTCACAGTTTTACTTCTTCCTTGGTACATTCCTTTCCATGCACGTGGATAATTTTTCCACTCCCAATGCATGTAGTCAATGCTCCCCAACATACCGAGGAATCCACGAACATTACTTTCACGAAGAAGTCGCTCTTCATTTGCAGGTGTTGCCCTCCTCAGGTACTCTTGTCCAAATTTAGAGATAACCCCTTCAACAAAGTGTTGGAGACAATCTCTTGCTATACTTGCCACGATTTTGTGGTATTCATCAACTGCATCGGTTGTTGTACCATAAGCCAACATCCTCATTGCCGCAGTGCATTTTTGGAAAGCCGAAGCACCAAGTCTTCCAGTGGCATCAGGCCTTTGACGAAAGTATTTGTTACTTTCGCTTAGCTCCTCAACAATGCGCGTGAAAACGTGTTTACGCATCAAAATCTTCGACGAAACATATCGTCGTTATAAAGTGGTTTGGGACTGAAGTGGTCGTTATATAACCGTGTATCAACATCTTCACGATCTCTTGGTACGTAGTACCACCTTTGCTTCTCAGGATCGGGAGTGAATGAACCCTGAAAAGTAGAGGTGACAAGGGGGGACAATAGCTGAATTGATTGCTTCCTTAATTAATTCCTCTTCCGTACGCCTTTGAGTAAAATTGATTCGTGCCACTTAACATAATTGTTCCACCATATAATCGAAAATACCAGAACTTGATGAACTAGATGAATTTGAATCAGAATTCATTGTTGGGTATATATGGTAAGAGTAGTGTTTAGTGTGAGACTGTTTTTGTGAGGAAGGGTATTTTTGTTTGTGTGTTAAACAACAAAGTGAATAGGACTTAGATAGAAATTTGTTAATGATTTAAAAACAATTACATGTGATTTAATGTATGGGCATAAAACTGTAGAAGATGAGATTTCTAATAAGGTTTGCAGATTTCCATCCAATTACAAAACAATGCATGTATTGTCACACAACTCTAGATGATTAGATGTCTGATGATATATCCAGATTACTATCCAATTACGAATTATTATATAGGCACGCAACTCTAGAAGATAAGATTTCTGATGAAGTTTGCAGATTTCCATCCAATTGCAAACCAATGTTTGTGCACACATCTCTTAAAGATGAGGTTGAAGAGCTTCTTCATTGACAAGTCAATGACTTCAATTATAATTAAACAACATTAATTAAACAAGTTTTACATATGCTCGGAAAAAATTGTAAAATCATACCAAATGAACAACAACATAAATTAAGGCAAACGTTAAAGAAGCTTAAACTAACTTAAAATTATATCAAACTAACAACATAAATAACTAGCTTAAAAGGTGGCTAAACTCCTCTTTCAATTTCCGAAACAGTTGTTGGTCGTCTTCAGAGAGGTTTGGTTTTGCAAGTATAACACTAAATAAATTGAACCTCTTTTCCTCCTCTTTCCTCTGTCTCCTGATGACATCTCGCTCCTTTTGATAATCCAACATTTGTTGCGCTACATCAGCTCGCTCTCATCAACACTTTTGTATTGCTCCTTCGTCACATTCATCTCTGATAGGGCTTGAGTAAACGAATCTAAACTATTAATTCTAGAACTAGCTACAGATTTACCTTTTCTTTTTGCCTTTTTCACCCCATCTGGATGTCCACGCCGACCTACTTCTGTTGGAGTATCTGGTTCTGATCTTCTGGAGCTATCACTTTCACTGGTAGTCGTCACTTGCTTGTTTGTTGACCTCCATTTATCAGATTTTCTCAACACCTCCCATATGATGATTAAAGTGAACCGGGCTCCGTTACATGATGCACTATACATTTCTTGAGCTTCAGTCATGACATTGTAAGTGTTGGTACCACTTGCATTTCTACATTGTGCCGCAGCATAGCACCCAACCCATAGGTTCACATCTTTGTTTATTCTACCCCAACGACCTTTCATAGCCAAACTCTGATCAGTTACTGTCACTGGATCTTCAATCGCACATTCTATCCAAGCTGAGACAAGTGCGTCGTCTTCTTGTGCACCCTACTTTGCATTTAACGAGGTGCTGTTGCTATCTTGCGAATCTTCACCATCAACGTCATCTCGTTATTTTCATCATCATTGGCATTTCTTTCAAGAGGAGTTTTGCTACTACTTCCATCTCCCCCTGGAGTTGTTGGACTATTCTCTACTTGGTTTCCAACGTGTTGAGACATTGGGAACATTAAACCAGAAGAATTTTTTTGGAGAATTTGATTCATGAATTGTTGTTGGAATTGGTTAGGAAACTGTTGTTGAAGCTGGTTAGGAATTTATTACTGGTCGGTTAGGAATGCTAGAATATAACATTCTTTGAACATTTGGATTAGCAAGACCTTTTGGATCAAAGTGGAGATTAGCTTGAAAATTTGGAGAATTGGAATTAATTTGGTACTTTGGTTTATGTGGGGAGTAGAAATAATTATTTCTTTGATTATTAGGAATATTAGGATCCATAATTAGGACTAATATTATTTTTTTGGGTTTAGATAATATAAAACTTAGCTTTTTGCGGGTTAGTAGAGGGATGGTAAAAAATTTAAGTGCGAATAACATTGGCAATATTGGTCTCTTTTTATAGGCAAAAATATAAAAAAGCCGTTAGCAATTTTTTTTTTTAAATTCATAGCAGATTTTTTTTATTACCGTTGAAAGTTTTTTAAGAGACAAAAATCAATTGAAAATATAATCCTCAACCGCTATAAAATCAATGGCTTAAATTGAATCAATACAACTCTAAGTGGGACATATGGCGACAATCCACAAGGTCGTGTCCTCCCTGACGCGCGCGTCTGACTTTTTGATTTTTATTTTATTTTTTACATCAAAACTGCACCGTTTAAAACAACAATATGGCAAAAAAAAATGAAACACAGTGTTTGTCTTCACGTGGGCCGAGGCAATAGGTGACCTGCCAGAGAGGGCATCCCCATCAAATGGGTTACTCATGGGTCACCTCTTACAATAGTGAGGTAGCTCAAATGGAGGTGAGAGAGAGTTGTGGGGAGGGTGCTCCCCACCGTTGTGGCTGCTCTTTGCAAGATCCGAAGGGGTAAATACAAAATAAGATTTTTTTGTTGCAATTAATACTTCGTTACCAAATATAATAAATTAATAATTATTGCATATAATATTTAACGGACTTAGAGCATTGCCATTGGTTGCCCTCTTTGGGTGGTTATGAAGAAAGAGAAAATCCAAAAAAGATTAAAAAAAATAAAAGGGAATAGTTTTTGAGGGAAAAGGTGCATAACCAGGTCATGGCCATGCCCATTTGTGAAGAGTGAGTAATGTGCCCATTTGTGAAGAGTGAGTAATGTTTGTGTATGGTGACACTTGTCCAAGTGCTATTGGTTGATGAGAACTTTTTTTATTCAATATACATAGCTTCACGTGGGAAATTGGTGCAGGGAATAAAGTTGGGTTAATTTGTTTGGGAGTTGACATTTGGCATCATCTTGTTTGTTTTGCCATTTTGAATCCAATTGTCTGCAATTAAAGTAAAATATAAACGTTGTAAAATTTACAACAGTCATAACTTTTAAAATAAAAACTCTTTTCAAAAAATAATTATACCAACGACTAATTTTTTCCCCTCTATAAAATGAGTATAATTTTGAGGTATTTTAATCCAACTTTTTTTTCACCAATTATTACACCCATATTTAAGTAAGCAAAAGTTTGTGGTAATCCAAGGTTAGTGGAATTAAAACTTTGGAGATAAAAAAAACCCAAAATCCCAAAGGGAAAAAAAAATCCTACAAAATCCAAAAAATCATCACAACTTCAAAATAATTCAAATATTCATCCCTCTTTTCCTAATCATCCTATTGATCTGAATTTTGATTTAACACCTAATTTAACACAATTTTCTACTTACGTTTCTGGAAATGTGAATTTCTCAAATCCAAATTATTTTACTCAATTCTCTCAACGGCCACCACAATATCCAAACATCTCATTTAGTCAAGATGATTTTCCAGCTACAAATTGTTCATCTTTTCAAAATTTTCAATTATCTCAAGATGAATCCACATTTCCTGTCTCACAAAATTTTACTATGTCACAAGATCGAACGCACTATCCGATGACGGTGATGATGAGGAAGAAGTTGAAGAAACTGATAGAGCTAATAAAGGAGGTAATCAACTAGGCAATCGATTTTGGTCAAAAGCTGAAGAAGTAACTCTTGTGAAAACTTGGCTTGAGGTTAGTCAAAATAAAAAATAAAAAATAAAAAAACTAATACCAACCAGAAAGGGGAAGATTGAACAAATGTATGATAATGTTAGAGTATATAAACAAAAGTGTTTTGAGGAAGGTACAGAAGGGGTTACACAAGAAGATTTGTTAAAGGTTAGAGGTTTAGAGCAACTTAGATGTCGGTGGAGAAGGATAAATGCTTCATGCTCTAAATTTTGTGGTTCATTTGCTAGTGCTCAATCTAGAAGGGAATGTGTAGGGATGTCAACGCGGGGGGGGGGGGGGGGGGGGGGGGGGGGGGGGGGGGGAGGCGGGGCGGATGTTGGCCTTCCCATCCCCATCCCCACCTAATATTTTCATCCCCATCCCCATTGCCGCGTCGGGTCCAATTTTCATCCCCATCCCCGCCCCACCCCCCACTTGGATATCCATCCCCACCTAATCCCCACCTAATCCCCACCCAAGATCCGCCTAATATCCGTATCTCAAATACACAATCTTACATAATTAATACGAATTATAAAATAAAACATTCTATACACATTTTTGTGTTATAATATAAGTGTGTACAAAGTATTATAATTAATATTGTATTTTATAGAATAAAAGTATGTAATTTTGCTTTAAAAGATATATAGTTGTGGGTATGAGGTGGGGATGGGGCGGGTACGAAGTGGAGAGGGTGGGGCGGGGCGGGGATGGGGCGGGTACAACTTAAAATCCACCCCCGCCCCATCACCCAAGGTGGGTATGGTTTTTATCCCCATCCCCGCCCCATCACCCGCCAAATCGAGACCCATCCCCGCCCCATTAGGGCGGGGATGGGGCAGGTCTCCTACTTGACCCGCCCCACTGACATCCCTAGGGATGTGGTGAGAATGATGAGGATGTTATGAAAACAACATATAAGATCTATGCTGCCGACAACACCAAGACAAAGTTGATGTCTAAAACCTTTCACGATCAGCATGCTTGAGATATTCTAACTCAACATGTTGCTTGGAAGCCGGCTGAAAATATTATTGGCACTTGCAAGAAAAAGACATCCACTCAAGGTAGCGACTCAAAAAGAATGAGGATGAATGAAAATGGTAACTACTCATCATCAACAAACCCAGATACACCAACCAGTGGTGATATTGGGTGTTCTGGCTTCCCTTCAAGCAATGAATCCAGCAAAAAACAAAGGTAAGAGTAAAATGGCAAATATTCCATCAGAAGCATGGCAAAATTGGTTGATTACGGTCCAAAACATGAACATAACAAAACAAACAGAAACAGAAATTGAACTTACAAGATTAAAGTACTGGAGAGAAAAGGAAGTAGAGTTGTTTCAAGTGGAAAGGGAAAAGACTCAGTTAGAAAGGGAAAAAGAAGCAAGAAAGCAAAGGAAAATTAATATGGAGTTGTTCAAGCATCTTGATTCAAAGTTATACTTATGTGAAGCAGGTCAAGAGCTGTGATATAGTTTAGTGAAGAAGTTATTTCCATCAGATTAGTTAATTATTGTTCGCTTTAAGTTATTGTGATTGGTTCTAATTAGTTTATGTTTACCATTGTTGTATTTTTTTTTTTCCGCAATTAAGTTTAAGTGTGTTTTATATATTAATTATGTTTTATTGTATTGTCGTTTTTAATTAATAATATATGTTTACTTATTACTAGTGTGTTTTTTAAAATAAATATATTATTTTATGAATTATTTACTAAAATACTGGTGCATTGATGTACATATCACTGCAAAATAAGTATCAATTATTTTCTGAAGGGTATAGTGCATTGATCTATGTATCACTGCAACAAGTAACATTTATTTACTGAAAAAGCTGATGCATTGATAATACCCTACCTAAAGAATCAATATACAAGCATCTTTACAGACATGAACTATCACAAAAATACAATTGATATGGCTACTCAATGGAAGACATGTATTTTTTTGAGTAATGAAATTATTGTGTGTACGTATGTGTTTTGATAGCATACGTGCACCATAGTGTTATAAAATGGTTTATATCAATTAGCTTTTCATTCAACCTTCTATTCTCAAATTAAACTATCTTTTATAAAATATGTCTTCAAAAGAAACTTCTAACTCTTCTAATTCCTCTTCCAATTCTTTAAATTCTAAAAATGTTTCTAATCTACTAATCCAATTATCAAATGACAGTGATGATGAATGTTATGAAAGGCGTAGACAAACAAATCGAGATATTGATCAAATGATGGATCAAATAATGATGTCCAATCCAGTTGAAATATATCAAACTTTAAATTAAATTCCGAAGGCACCAAGGAAACCTGTTGAAAGACATCGTGAAGATGGTCAAGCTCGTTTATGGAACGACTATTTTGCAGATCCTCCGGTGTTCCCTGCACATCTATTCCGTCGAAGATTTCGAATGAGGCAACATGTCTTTCTCTGCATAAAAAATACTTTGGAAGAACGTCATTTATTCTTTCAATAGAGAAAAGATGCTACTGGTAGATTTGGTGCTTCAGCATTGCAGAAATGCACAGCGGCTATGAGGTTAATAGCATACGGTACCTCTGCTGATTCCGTGGAATACTACATTCGGATTAGTGGATCTCTTGCAAGATATTGCTTACAACATTTTGTAGAAGGTATTGTCTCTTACTTTAGCGATTAATACCTTAGGAAACCCAATGAAGAAGATTTGGTAAAATTATTGAGAATTAGAGAACAAAGAGGTTTCCCGGGAATGCTCGGATCCATCGATTACATGCATTGGCGGTGGAAGAATTGCCCTCTTAGATTGAAAGGGATGTTTTCTGGAAAATCCGAAAAGCCCACATTAATTTTGGAAGTTGTGACGTCATATGATCTTTGGATTTAGCATGTTTTTTTTTGGGACACCGGGTAGTCGTAGTGATATCAATGTTCTTGATAGATCTCATTATTTAACGATGTGTTTGAAGGTCGTGCATCCCTTATTAACTATGTCATAAACAACCACCATTACAATATGGGATATTACCTTATTGATGGTATATATCCTAGATGCGCAGCATTTATTCCCACCATACACTACTAAAAAAAATGGCAAAGAAACCATTTGAAATAGGCCTAAAAGACCGTAACTGGTATGGTTTCTATCTCAGTGGTCTCTTAGCATAAGAAACCATATATTCAGTATGGTTTCTTAAATATTACTTATAAACCATACTTGAAAGAAGCATGGTGTCTTAGGTCTTTCTTTATGCAGTTTATATAGAAGGATGAGAAACTTGTTTTGTCAGAAGTGTTGTTTCTTGGATATAATATAAGAGACTAGAGTTGTTACAACTATGGTCTCTTAGACTTTTTTTAAAAAAATATATAATAATAATGATAATTATTATTATTATTTCGTGCGAAATATGAAATCAAAATCAAACAAAACTCATTTAAACGTAAAAACAAAATTATGGAGAATAAGTAAACATCATGACTTCTTCTTTTAATTTCTTTCAATGTTGGAGTATTAATTTAACGGAAATTTCACCAAATGCTCCTGAGTTATTTTTTTGTTATTTTTTTATTCACCAAATACCCATCAAAACTTTCAAATTCACCAAATACTCCTAAGTTTAAGAAAAAATGTCATCAAATACCCTTAATGACTAACAGCGGTTAACACCGTTAGTCATTAATGACTAATATGCCACGTGGCAGCCTCTAAGTGGTTATTGTAATATTAATTAATTTATTAATAAAAAAACTTTAAAAATAAAAAAAATACCCCAACCACCCAAGACCCACCCCACCCCCAACGGCCGACCACCAGCCACCACCGCCACCACCCCCGAACCCACCCCTCCTCCTGCGCCGGTGGTCCATTTTTTGCCGGCGAGGGCAGCCCCCCACCCTCCCCTACCCCCTCCCCTTCTCCCTGCGTTTCCCCTCCCCTTAAACCCCTCCCCCACCTCGAAAAACCCCCCCTCCCTTCACGGCCGGCACCCAAACCCCCTCCCCGGCGAACCACTTTCGCCCCACCCCCCGCCATCCCCACCACCTTTCCCCCCTAAACCACCACCCAAAAAAACCAAAAACCCCCCAAATGGAAACCCTAGATTTCGATTTGGGGTTTTTCGATTTGGGGGGTTTTTCGACGAACAAAAATGGTCGACTAGCCTTGTTACTCAAGCTTTGCCATCACCACAAGTCCACAACCACCATCTGTGTATCTGAAATTCAATACAAAAGCTCAATTAAAACGAGATCTACAAAATTAATTCAAAAAATAGTCAAAATAAGCATATCAAGTAAAAAAAAATGCAGGAATGGAATCAAATTAGTCAAAGTATCAATTAATACTAATTAAGACCATTGAATCGAAATATTGTATATACCCATAAACCGTGTTCTTCAGAAAACACCCAAAAACTACTAAAATTAAACTGAATTATAAAATATGAACCCTAAAATTTTATAAAGAAATTAGTTGAAATTAGAAGACAATAAAAGAGAGATACCAGCGTCGTTCCACCATCGACATCCTCCAATGCCTTTACCGTCTTACACGACTCAGATTCTCTATCCCTTGTCGCCAAAACTTCTAAGAAATTCAATTATTAGCAGGTAATTTATAAAAAAAAAAAAAAAAATCACACTCTAACTCCAATAATTTGAAATTGAACACAAGAAAACAAAAAACAACAATAATCCAGTTGAAGAAATCTCGAAACACAACAAAATGCAAAAAACTAGAAAATTCTAAATTTACAAAAAAAAATGATAATAACATCGGAACAAGAAAACCAAATAATCATCGAAAAATGAAGTTCTTTTTGTGAGAAAACACCATTACCGTGCTCAAAATAGCCAAATAAGTCTCAATTTGAACCAAATTTGCACGAATTCAAGGATAGATAAAGAAGTCAATGAGAGAGAAACCACATATTTATCAAATTAATTGAGGGTTTTGATAGATCAGCTTATTCAGAACAATATTCTTGTATATTTATGGAGAAAAAATCAAGATTGCCGTTGATTTGAAGTGTTAGGGTTCTTCTTGAGTGAGGATGAACTGAGATGAAAAAGAGAAGAATGATACGGAGTATAATCCAGAATGATTAAGAGGAGTCAAAAGGTTTTATAAAAAAAAGTTTATGTCGTGATAATGGGTGGGTGACGCTTAGCCCAGCAAAGTGCTGGACCAGCGCACCAATTTTATCAATATTAAATGTTATTGGTGGCCCTTATTTTGTATTGGTGTGTATTTTGTATGTATGAATTTGTATGCCCATATTTATATATCGTTGGCGCGCTTTCCAAGACCGTTACAACGATTGGTCCGCTATTATGCAAATGAGGTTGAATAACATGACATTTATGATAACATGACAGAGGGTTAACAGAGGGTTTGTCTGATGACATGACATTTATGATGACATGACATTTATGATAACATGACATTTATCATGTATTGTCGTGTTGACATATACACTGTCATATTGTAATATGTTTTTTTTTTAGACATAGTTATCTTATTTATTTATATTGCCATATTAACATATATATTGTAATGTTGACATATACATTGTCATAATGTAATGGGGTTTGGGGTTTAGGGTTAACAGAGGGTTTGGGGGATTGTGTTTTGGGGTATTAGCAACTAGGTAGAACTGTATTGTCATTGAATTTGGTGTTAATGTCATACCTTTATTTCTTAATGTCTAATATTGACATCAAGAACATAAAGTGTTGTTGGCATTTATCTATCATATTTTCATTAATAAAAGAATAGTTTTTTTTAACTATAATTAGGATAAGTTGAGTCTCATTTAAGGTTATTAAATGCATTTCATTTTATATTAGGATTGGCAATTGAGTTCAATTCCAATAAGGATTATATATAGGATTTAACTTTCAATTACATTGTTTTGAAGGAATAGTGTCTTCGATAAGTGTAATTACTAGATATATCAAGAATCACTATTATGGAGATAATAAGTTCGTTCTTTTGGGTCGTCATTGTTTGGTGCTAGATATGACAAATGATCTTTGGGCTAGTTAAATAGTCCAAATCCCAATAGAATGGATCCTATGAGGTCACACAACAAGGATATTGGGTTAAACAAGTAAGAGGCTTATTAATGGGCCTCATGAGATTATGACATTCCATGTAGAGTGTTGAGCTAGAGTAGTGTGTTTGAGATAAGGTGTTTGGGCTTGACATGGACTCTTATTTAGAGATGTGATCTATAAATAAGATCCATGCCTAGGGTTGAATAGACAATCAACATACAGTAGATTATGAAACAAACAACCAAGTCCCAAAACCCTAAACACTCTCCTCACCTCACGGCCCTCCCTCTCCCCTCGTCCGTACGTCCGGCGCCCCCTCGTGGTGGCTCGTGGTGTTCGTCGTGGTGGTTCGTGGTTAGCTTGTGTCTCTCTTCTCCGTCGAAGGCTGATTGCAGCGTTCAATCACGACTAACTAGCATTGCTGGATGTTTAATCTGTGCCCGTGGACCAAGTAGATGAATCACGCTTGGGGTTCTTTATCTCCCATTGTTCTTGCTTGATCGCACGTGGAATCACGCTTTAAAGGTACACTTATATGTTCTTTATGTGTTAGATCTTGGGATTAGATACTGTATGAATATGATTCATGTTTTTCCGCAATTAGTACTTATAAACTCCTACATGTTTTACTATAATGAGGAATGTTAATAGTGTTTAAATTGAATTTCAAAGGATTCAATTTGAGTTTCAATTACATTGTTAATAGTGTTTAACTATAATTAGGATTGTTAAAGAATGTTAATCGACATTTGAATATCAAAGGATTCAATTTGGATAAATGGGCCTTCAAAGGATCCAATTAGGATTAAAGGCTTCTTCAAAGGATTCAATTTGGATAAAGGGGCCTTCAAAGGATTCAATTTGGATTAAAGGCTTCTTTCAAAGGATTCAATTAGGATTAAGGATCTCTTCTCTTCAACTTAAGTTAAGTTCAGTTCAGGTCCAATTAGCTTTTAGTTTAGTTCTCGTTTCCTAATTTCCTTCTCTCATAAACAATTCATTAGGATTTGATTTGAGTTGAACTCAATTAAACTGAACTGAACTTGTTAGGAATTGAGTTGACTTGAACTTATTAGACTTTGTTAAATGTAGTTGATTCTAAGCATTCCATTAGGATAACAAAGTCACATCCAATTATCAATCCTAATTGAGTAACAAACCATTTAACAATCCTATTTGAATATTAATTAAAAGAAAAGTCCATGTAACAATAATTCACTTCAAAAGTTGTTAGCGATTCTAGTATAATTGTAACAGTTATTTTCATAAGTGAATAAATTGTTGTCAATTGAATGTAAATTACTGTCATTGTTAGATTAGTTTGTTGTCGTTACATTTATTTAGTTGTAAATTACTGTTGTTAGCAAACCTTTTAAAAAAATTTGATTATGCATTTTCTCAGTAATAAGTTGTATCATAATCCTGCCATGTCTCTTAATTTACTGATTTGTCCTACTACTTAGTATTTTGGGCTCTATCAGCTGAATAGCTGAATCCATGTAGCTGATCAAGAATAAAGGTAATTGGTTCTTTATGTCGTGGAATGATTGTGATTAGTCCATTTTGGAAGGTTTGGATTGATGACATGGACGAGTGGTTCCTTTATCATAATTGGTTGTTTGTGATTGAGTTATTCTGGGATGTTTAGATTGATGACATGGACTATTGGATCGTTGTCTATTTTGGGAGGTTTGAATTGATGACATGGACTATTAGGTATAAGGTTTAGGACATAGGGAAAGGGTAGACATAGTTAAATTTTATTGTCATGTAAACATTTATATTGTCATATTTCAATATGTTATTGTCATATTTTGCTACTATTTGTCTTATAAAAATAGAGATAAGTTATTGTCATATGTCATGTAAACATTTTTATTGTTAGGTATCTTGGTGTTATTGTCCTACGTATATTCCTTCGAAACCCACCCATCCTTGATTTCGACCACCTTAGGCCATCCACATAACCCAAAAACCTATCTTCAAAACCCACCCGTCATTGAAAACCCAGAAAACAGTTGGGTGGTCGGAAAGAAGAAAAATGAAAAAGGGAAGAAAGAAGGGCATCAGGTTGATGGGAGGGGGAACGGGCAAGAATTTGGTGGTAGAGGAAGGCCATCAATGGTGGCTTAGAAGAGGAAGTATTGAGGAGAGAGAATAAAGCGGGAAATCAAATAAAATTAGGGAAGATGACCAACGGAATATACATGATGAAACATGTAGGTAATTCTCTTGTAGTTGTATAGATATATGTATGAACAGTGTCAATACAACCACAATACTTTCATTTAATGTGAAAATGACCGCCTTACCCCTGTGTTGATCCAGCACCGTGCTGGGTTGAGCCGGCCTCGATAATGGGTATCAATAAAAAAAAAATAGTAGGTATTATTATTTACCGTATTTATGTTTGCTAAGAAACCAATTTTCACTTGTTATGGTATCTTTGACCCATTGTTTAGATTTAATTTATCTTATTTAATCAAAGACACCATACCTATTTAATGAGTGGTTTTTTTATTTTATCCTAAGAAACCATATTTCTTAAATTAATGGTTTCTTTATTTAAGAAACCAGTTTACTGCTATAAATGGTGTCTTATGAGTGGTTACTTAGCCCTTTTTTGTAGTAGTGATATCCCTCCCACAAAACGAAAAAGAGGGACTTTTTGCTAAGAAACAAGAAAGTATGCGAAAGGACGTTGAACGTGCTTTTGGGGTATTACAGGCTCGCTTTGCAATAATAAGAAATCCCGCTCTTGCTCGTGAATTCGTGATGCATCAATGTTGGGAAATATTATGATAGCTTGCATTATTATGCACAATATGATCGTTGAGGATGATCGAGATACATATACAACATATTATGATCCGACTGAATATGATCAAGCATCACCTCCATCTTCAAGCAGCAGAAATAATAATGAACCCTTTCAATATCAAAATAGTGAAAATCGAATTGCAAGTTTGGATAATTACATGTCTAATAGAGCTCGTGTTCGTGATGAAGATATGCATAGAGCCCTAAAATCGGATTTAGTGGAACGTTTGTGGCTCAAGTTTGGGGTAATAATAGGCATAATAATCGACAATAATATAATATTGCAATTTTAGCTATCTTTATTTAAATATCATGCTAATTTTTTTTAAAGAAATGTTCTATGTATTGTTGTATTTTTAAGATTTATTATCGTATTGTCAAATAATATAATATCGTATCATCTTATCATTTTTTAACTTAATTAACGATTATTAGATCACAATTTACATTAATAATGAATAGTTTTTTAATTACGTTTAATTAATGTTGATTAAATAATGTAATAATTTAATTAATTATTTAATTCATATAGTTATGATGGGGTAGAGTATAAGTAAGAAAGAGAAAATCAAGAGTTAAGTATAAAGATGGGGACTAAGTTTTTAGATTTTTCACCTTTTGGGACCTCAATGTTTTTTTTTTCACCTTTTGGAACCTACAGTTAACATTCCGGCCAACTAACTACATTTAAACCCATTGGAGTAAAAACATAGGTCCTTCCCATTAATTACTTGCCAAATTCCCAAAAAACATAGGTCCTTAGTCCTTAAAAATCTGAAATAAATAAAAATAAATGAAGGGACTAAGTTTTTAACTAAGGGATTATATTTTTTACGAGGCACGATACTCTCTACTCGTGACATGCTTAATTCTATATTTATATAATTCGGCATGCATGTAGATTTCGTATACTTTCACCTACTAATTACTTACTTTTTATGTGTGACTTCAACATTAATATATTGAGACCTCGCTTAACTTGATATCTAATAAATACATATCAAATACGGAAAAGCATAGCATAACCTATTATCAATAATCAGTGGCTCTATAGATGGCGACCGATAGTCATGATATGTGACTAATTAATTACCTATTTAAAAAATGATAACCTGACTATAAACTATATACTACGTATGTATAAGTTGAAGTTTTCTTTTTCTATTATTATCAAGTTAAAAAGGGTTACTTCCTTAAAAATATATAAATTGTCATCTTTTAATATGAAGCATAAGTTGAGATAAGTTTTTATTTATTTATTTATTTTTACATATAATTACAAGTATATAAATTGAACTATACTTTTTTTTTGACGGGAAATTCACTGTTTTAAAATATATTTACAAGCTTATTTTGGTTTATTATTGTGTATTTAGTTAGCGTGCTTGCAATTGTTTATCATTCATAATGTTTTCTAATTATTGTATATAATGAGTTAATGACAGTTGTGTTGTACACCATCAATCCACACTAAGCTACTAATCTCTCTAATTGTTAATATGTTATTGTACGTACACTACCGTCATGAACAACATTAAATTTTATAAGAGAAGAAAAATCTTTTAATAATTAGTGTTGAAGTTAAAGGAAAGAAAATATAAAAATTAATAGCAAACTTTAGCCTTGTAATTAACCACATGTGTGAGAGAGTAATAAATGAAGGGACTAAGTTTTTAACTAAGAGACTATGTTTTTTTACTCACCTTTAGTTACTTTTGGCCGGAAATTGGACTATAGGTCCCAAAAGGTAAAAAAATAAAAAACTTAGACCCCAATGTTATACTTAACTCAGAAAATCAATAACCACAAAAATAAAGGGCAACCAATGGAAGGGCATGGATATAAGTGGGTATGGGAGTTGGACATGAATGAGGTAGAAGAGAGAGAAATTGATAAAAAAAAATGTGATGACCACCAATGCCTTGGACAATGGATGACTATGCTCTTATAAAATTACGGAAGGAAAATGACGACGAAAAAAAAAAAAAAAAAAAAAAAGGAGGGAATACGATATTTATTGTATTTTGTACACCATTCATCAGGTTGTTTGAAAGTACTCCGTATATGTCAATTCTAGTACTTGTATTCTATTCTAGAATCTATCCATCACCATCACTTTCATCTTCAACCTCAATCTTCTGCAACTTTTACTGCCACTTTGTGTAAACTCTCTTTAAAATTCCTTCCAATTTTTATTTATTTATTTATTTATTTTTCTCTAATTTCCTCAAATTCAAATCCAGCCCCTTTTACCCCAATTGTAATTTAATCTCTTCACCAAATTCTGGATAATTTCTGTAAATTATGTCTCCTAAATCCCTAACATCTCGCAATTCGATTGATTCATGCTTATTGCAACTCCATACATGGAAACCCTTCAACAATTACACAAACCCTAATTCCAATCCCAATTCCAAAACCCTAGATTCTGATTCGTACATTTCAACCAATTCCAATTTAAATTCAAACCCTAATCATAAAAAAACATCTGGGCTTCATCCTAAACGTCCTTGTTTAGCAGATCGAGCTACTTCTCTGTTTTCACTTTCAATTGACTCAATTGATTTCTCCAAGCTCAGTCTTTTCGACGATGGTGGTGATAAATCCCGTAGCTATAACAGTAGGAAGGATAAGTTTCGTTGGATGGCGAAGAAACGACGTCGTCGAGGTGGGTCACGGTCGGTTTCTGGGAGGAGCAGTGATCGTAGTGGGACCCGAAATGGGCGGGGTTGCTCAGTTGGGGCTACGGCAACGGCTACTTGCTCGGATTTTATGGTGGCGGCAGGCGGGACCGATTCGAGTGGGGAGTTGTTTGTGAATGGTGGAGCTAGTGGGAATGCTAATGGTTGGGCTTCTGATGTGAGTGAAGCTAGGAGAGAGAGGGAGAGGGAGAGAGATAGGGGGAATGGGGTTGGGGAGAGGGAGAGTTCGAATTTGGGGTTCGGGTTTGATGCGCAGGGGAGCGAATCCGGGTACGGGAGTGAGCCTGGTTATCGCGGCGATGCGGAGTTTGGGTATGGTGATGAGATTGATGATGAGGAAGAGGATACCAGGTTGTTGTTGTGGGGTGAAAGATTTGGAGGTACATAGCTTAACTATCTCTTACTTGTTTTTGGATTTGGATATTGGTCGTTTCTTTCATTCTTTTGATCTTTTGGCTTATGAAATTTCTTGTAGACTTCAGTTAGGATATATAGTATGCTATGTGCAATGATTCAGGTTCATTGGTTTTATTGTGTTTGTTGTGCATTATCAAGTCTTAATTGTTTTGTGTGTTAAGTTGCGTGAGTGTAAATGTATGTACTTTGTAATAGTTTGTCTCTTGTTTGTGCTTGACCTGTTTTATTTCCATAGACTGGTTGTGAAAAGTTCATGCAAAACTTCAGAAATTTCAAAATGACAATACTCCCTTGTCTTCGTTGCATTAGCCCAATTTATGTACTACTTCGTAATAATTTGTTTCTTGTTAGTGCTTGACCAGCTTATTTCCATAGACTGGTTGCCGAAAGTTCATGCAAAACTTCAGAAATTTCAACTTGTAGAATATTGACAATACTCCCTTGTCTACATTGTATTAACCCAATGTATATACTACTTCGTAATAGTTTGTCTCTTGTTTGTGCTTGGCCTGTTTCATTTCCATACACTGATTGCGGAAAGTTCATGCAAAACTTCAGAAATTTTAACTTGTAGAATATTGACAATACTCCTTTGTCGTCGTTGCATTAACCCAATGGAGTATTGTAGAATATTGACAATACTCCTTTGTCTTCGTTGGTGAAGATGTTGAATCTATTTAGAAGGTTGATAATACAAGAGTAGAATGTAGGAGTTCAGCTCCAGTCAATTTAATGTATCCATACACTCCATATGAGTGAATAGGAGCTGGTTGTAATATTATTTAGCTAACCAGGCAAAGCCGGTTGATTTATGTGCCTATTGATTGAAAAGAATGGGTTGATGGCTGGCTGTGGGTTAAGATGTGGAAGGTGCAGTATTCAGATTTATATGCCACACAGCCACCGGATAACAAATGAAAACAGTAACGATTTAGAGATTTTGTATTGATCTGTGAAGAGGTTTTTCTCCAAATAAGAAAGACTACTTGAATCTAATTACCATTGTTTTTCACAATTAGTAATACCATTAGAATTGGAAACTTCATGTGGTATTGAAACCATTAATTATCCTTATAGCACCTGAATTCACCTGCAGCTGATACATGTGGTGGGTTGTGGGCGGTGGGCAAGTCAAGTGGGAAAAGTTTTGAAAGTTTAAGATAGAGAGAAAAATTGTCTTTTGTGTGTGTATGGTGGTAGGAGTGCTTTCTAGATAGCACAAGTTGGCTCAAATACATTTTTTTTTTTTTGAGTTTGATCCATCCGGTTCACCGGATACATCCGGATCTGACCTGCGTTGCACACCTGGCTTATGGTGGGTGAGTCTCCCAACAAGAGTTTTCTGCATTCGGTGAGGCTGAAACTCTTGTTGGTTAACTTGGCTCAAATACCCATACATATTTTATAAATTCAAAATTTTATAACTGTTCATTCCCATTTTATATGGCCATATCTATGTCCTGCACCGTAAGCAACTCTACAAGGTAAGTGCTGTGAAGTTGAAGTGTATAGGATTTAGAAAGTAAGGGGAGAGGTGGAAGGTAAAGGAAGGTGTATGAACATGCAGAGAAAGAAGAAAATAGCATTTGTATACACTGGTGAATGTATAGGCCTATAGGGGCTGTCCATTGGAGCTTCTAAATTATTATGTTGCTTATGGATGAGGGTGAAAATAAGTATCGAGGATGTTAGGTGAGTATAAGGCAAAGGAATGGAGAACGGAATGAATAACTATTTAGGAGTGTCTGGAGACCTAGTTATTTGATGACAAATTTGCCAATTATTACCGGTAAAAGTACCCATTTTGTAAGTTACAACCATCAAAGTTTATTTTTGCAAATTATAACCAAATAAGTCATTAAACATATTAAACTACAACCAAAATCCGACTTTTGGTCACTTTCGCTGGAATATGACGTCATTAATCATTTATCGATATAAAAAATTATCCCGAGTCAATACTAGTTGAAATCATTAATTGATATAATGTGCTCATATTCCGGTAAACGTGGCTGAAAATCGAATTTTGGTTGTAGTCTAAAATGTTAGTGACTTTTTTGGTTGTAATTTGCAAAAATGAAATTTGTTGGTTGTAACCTGCAAAATGTACTTTTACCGGTTGTAATTGGCAAATTTTCGTTAATTGATAGGTTGGTTTATATATATATATATTAACCCCACAACCTCAAATCACTAAAAAAAAAGTAGTAAACTTAACACATGGCTTGATATGCTGTAATTTTGATGGCGAGTGCTGTGGGAAGCAAGTGACTACTTTATTAGGTTGAAACTTGATAGCAATCTAATGAGAAACTTAAAGTGAAGGAGAATATGTGGCTAATATTTAATGTGTGATGGGAATCTTGTTAGATTTTATGCTGTGGAAGTTTCCTTTTTCAAAAGAAGAATTTAACTATCATACCATGATGATGCTTTAGAACTTCAGATAAAGTGACTTTTGCCAGTTGCACGTGTTCTATCCCTTTATTCTTACTTTTTTTTCCTTAAATTGTGGTGTAATCTGGATTGAACCAATACCCCAGGTCCTCTGTCTCTTTTTATTGCAACTGCTCTTGTCCTCTGCCAATTTTGGATATTGTAGTGAGGAGTAGGTCAAGTGAGTCACCTGTAGGAACAAGCATCCAATTTCCCATGCTGAGTAAACGGTCACACATTCTGAAAGTCTTTATCTAGCTTTGGATCTTACTTCAGTATCCATCATCAGGAGCTTCTTAGGCTCTCATATGTTAGAAAGTCTTAGGTGTATAAGTTTTGTAAATGGATACTTGTATTTTGCCGTGGTAGTGAAGGAAGAGTTGACTTGTTTCTTAAATGCTTTTCAAGGCGAGAAGCCTAGGTGTTAGCTTTGACTGCTGGCCTTTGATATGATCTACAGTTGCTCAATTGAGCTTGCTCTTCAGCTGTCTGAATCTAATGTTGTCTTCATAAGACATTATAGTCATACTGTTGTATTTTTGTGGAGTGTCAAGATTCAAGACCTTACCTCACAACAATAATCTGCTCTAAATGTGCTAAGATACTACAGAAGAGATACAATGGTTCAGAGCATTTACTGCAAAAACATTACTCTTGTAATTTCTGGCTTGCAGTGCCATGTTCTTTTACTCAAATGGGTCAGAATATCTATTTTGTGGATAACCTAGGAGGAGAGAAAGAGGATCAGTTTGGTCACTTAGTTATACCCCCTCTCTCTTTTTTTTTTTTGTTTTTGCACTATGACTCATAAAGCTCTCTATAAAGTGGGCCCATGGTGCAAAAAAAAAAAAAGGGGGACCGAGGGAGTAGTTACCAACACGGAGGGAGTACGGTTTTATAAAAAAATTGTAACATACTTGATATAGTGCGACTTGCAACACAAAACAGTTTATGAGGGTCAGTACCACCTTGGAAGAGGTTTAGAATGTAAAAAGGTTCTTGTTTATACTCAGTCGTGGACATTACCATTTTCCTTGGTGACTTTTAAGTAAAATGTAAACTAAAATTAAGAGATAGAACTTCAATGATTTTAAACTGAAGATGATCAGGATGTATCACAAAGTATTGTGTACTTCAAAGCTTAGCATTTATGGGAATCATAGAAATTAAAGTTAGAAAGTTGGATTGGCTGTTCAATGGATCATGTAGAGAAAATGTGGTGTCTTTCATCATTGTCAGTAGTGGGTGGTTCTACCAGTTTCTGATGGATGGATAATTGACTGGCAGTGTTGACAGTTTAAACATAGTTTTTCCTTCATTTTTGTAATGGATAGTTCAAACAATATTGATCAAAGCTTGTTTAGCTTACTATGTCTGCATACTGCAGCTGTTTCCTGAGATTATGAGGCTTGTTGTTGGATATAAAATTGACTGTAATTGATTGGCTTAGCATCTTCTGTCATGTTGTCCATTAGCAACATCCAAAATACACGTATTGATTGATACTTCAGCTATTTGGATATTACATGACAAATAGGTTGGAAGATTGAAGGAACAATGGTTCGATTGCTTTAGTGGACTATAGAAATAATTGTGGCATTGCTAATTATACTCTTGGTAATGTTGTTATAGGTACTAAGTTGGAAATGGTTGGGGAAAACACTTTCTCAGAGCAGAAAGTCCATCACAGAGGCCGCCGGAAGAAGCATGACTGGAGAATGATGGCCTCTGTGAGATGACGATTCAAGGTCTTTTCAAGCTGCAAATTAGATGGTAGAGGCATATGCACTGCGAACATTGTGCATGCGACATAGTTATGTTGTGTTTTTTTGGTGAGTTTCAACTCTGGAGATCCCTTAACTTCACACCCAGTGTGGCAGTTTAGTCCCTCAACTTTCAAGTGCTCCAATTCAGTCTCTCCTTTTGGATGGAAACCCCTAACTATTAATCAACACGGGACACAGAAACCGAAAGCCTGTAGTTTTACAACCATGTATGTTCACAATTTATCAGGTTTGTATTTTGGAAGCATTTTTTTTAGTCAATCTTCCATGTAAAGTCACACTGTAATTTAATCGTTGAGCTTGTGAAAAAAAAAAAAACCGGCGAGGTTGCCGTAATAATATTTGTAATGATCCCTTTTTTTTTTTTTTTTTTTTTTTTTTTTTTTTTTTTAATTTTGGGTTAAAACATGCCATGTGAACACTCATTAAAAGTAGCCTTTAAAATCGGAAAACATATCCATTGATGTTTGGCTAATTTAATAATTTTACACTTTAAATGAGGAAATGTTTTGAAATAAATACAGTACAGTATATTTTTAGTATGTTAATCCTAATCTAATATGAGTAAATAATTTGAGTGGACAGTTGTCTAATCAGTAACCATCCTTTTTAAGTACTTCTATATTATATGACCATTGGATCTTATTCGCATTTTAAATGAAATCAGCCCACTAGAATATATATTTATGTCCAAATTTGTGTTAATTTGAATCAGGTGAATGATTTTTGGATCATTGTCGGATGTTATTTGAAAAAAAAAATTGTTAGATTCCCTTATACTAAAATCCACTTCAGCTTTTCCTCCAAAAAAAAAAAATCCACCTGAACTCCCCGATTTATTGCTAATGTTATACCTTAAAACATTTTTACTTTCTAAGAAAATATAGTAAGAAATAATTATGTGCAAAAACTAGGTTACAGGAATTATTATATTTTTTTTTGAAGAAAGTTACAGGGATTACTATAAACTTGAACATACAAGAGCAAAAAAAGAGAAAAAAAAAAAAAAAAAAAAAAAGCAAAAACATTCCTGAAAAGATTTATAGAGGGTGGGAGTGTGTAGGTAATTATGATGTTGCATATACTGGTTGTTTGGGGATTGTTTGGAATGCTAAAAAAATTGGGGTTTACCCCTTTATTTGCGTAATAATGGAAATAGAAATGGAGCGAGAGTATATCTTCTATAAAGAATCACCATTGATAATTATTTGTTTAAAGGCAACAATTAGAACAAGATGATTAAATTATTACGAAGTTTGGTAACTTTAATGCATTATTATTTTACAAAACTAAGTAATTTTCTCACTCTAACAACATTTTTTTTTTTTTTTATCAATTTAGAATAATTTAATAAAAATAAGGTTAGTCATAAAAATTAACAGAGTATAGAAATATCCAATCCAATATGCAATAATAGAAAAATGTAACTGTCCCTTTAATCTAGACAGGTGGATTGAAATGGGGTCCACATAAAGCTGCAAGCTCTTATCCATAAAAATGACTCATTTTGTCTCTTCAATTTCAATTACAGTCACCACTCCACCTCTCTCAAACCTCTAACCTTAAACCCACCTTTTTCTCTCTCCTCCCATTAACCCTAGACAATCGCCGTCGCTTTTCAACGCCGGTAATTTATTCTCCCTTTTCCGACGCTTTTTTCTGATTCTGTTGATTTCTTTTTTGACTAGTTTTTTTCATTTTTCTTAGATCTTGTTATTATTGTAGTTGATCAACTCTTTATTTGAATGTTATTTTCTAAATATTTATTGATGTTGTTATTATTAATTTGTGATTACTATGATGTTGAAATTTTTTGATGAAGAAAAAAAGGGCTTTATATTATGAAGTCAAGACTGGACCATAGTCAACTTGGTCTTTTTATTTCAAAATTATGAGTGTAATAATATTGAAGTTGCATAGATCACATCAAATCCACCAGATGTTGCATAGACTGTATTTTAGGATTGGATGACCGATTTACGATTTTTTAGTTGGAACGTGTTGACTTTTAACTTAAAGTTGATATTTTGAAAATATGAGTTAGGATGGATCTAACAAGTTTCCACGTGACTGTGTTTTTCTTATATAAATCATCCGAGTTAGTTTTAGTCTGAGTAGAGTGTTTGAATAGTGTAAAAGTTAAAATGATCCGAGTTTAAAAACAGGGGAAGCATTCCTAATACGATGAGTGATATTGCATTTGTGAAGTGAATAGTATTGTGAAATCAGTGTTGTTATTGTTGGTTAAAGGTACGAGTAATGTGCTTGGAGTGTGTGAATTAGATTGTGATTTGTAATCGACTTCCCTGGTAACTACCTGTTTGATGATTGCGTCCATGAGTTTTTAATAAATTAAGACTATGTAAAAGGATGCTTGTACATTTTCTGTCAACCAATACTCGATGTGTGACCGAAGAGATTTGCTGCTTTTTTTGTTTACAGGAATGTTTTGCTTTTGTTATCAACCTTCACAATTTAGAGACATCAGATGAACTATATTGGGTTGTTTGTTGTCATATTTAAATTTTGTTTTGATAAAATTATTCCCAAATGATACAAACTCCACCCAACTACTTGGAACATCTATACTCCTTTGAAAAAGACGGATTAAGTATTTAGGATTTGATGATTGATTTTCGATTTATGTGAAGTTGTGAACCGCATTTGTGATTATATGTAGTCAAACTGATAAAACTCTTCTTGGTAGTAACTTTTAAATTTCTGAAGTGACGAGCAATATTGCATTTTTGAAGTGGATAATATTGTGATATTAATATTGTTTGTGTTGGTAAAGGGATGATTAACTTGTAATGGAGGAGTAAATTGTGATCTGTGATAGACTTTTCATCTAATACTTGTGAAATTAGTTTTAATGTTTGGAATTTCCATGGTGATATGTTTACTAATTATGATGTAAGATTGCGCGAATGAAAATGTAAAAGAGAATTCTTGTATATATGTTGTCACCATTATGTGATACGGCTTCAAGAGTAAAAAAAATTATTGTATCCAATAATATATGTTTTGCCAGCTTATGAAGTTATATTGCTATCACAATTCACAATACAAGGAAAACATATGAAGAACTTACTATTTTTCTCCACTATTTATTTCTCCCACTAGTGGGACCTATATATGTCATAGCGAAAAAAATTTATATGGATATAATATTCTCAAATCAAACTAATTCCAAACAACTACTTGGAGTTTGAACGATTAACAAGATATGAGTTCATTAGTGCTTAGCATCCTCCTTAGTTCCCTCTCTCCACTTCCTAATCCCTGAAAAGAGAGGGCAAATATTTAACTCTTTCTATCTTGCTATACCTTTGATTTCTCCTAGACAATTGAATGGTCTCTAATCATTTCCCCTACATTCCTCTCTTCCCGTTTTTCCTTGACTCTCTCATTATCTCTTGCCCTTTCGCCTGTCTTGTTTGAGGTTTCCTCACTATATTTTGTTTAGAGTATCTTATTGTAGGTTATTTGTTTTTATAGTTACAATATTATTGGTCTTTAATGTATAGTATTTCATATGCTAAGTGCTAATTAGTCTTAAAATGTTGGTTAGCAGGAAAATAATGCAAGGGGCAGTTCGAGGTCTTCTCTTAAATGGAAAGAATGCAGTCTTGCAACATGTACACCTGGGAAATCAATTTCTGAGACCCATTGCATGTGCACGCTTTGAGTCAACTGTGTCTGCCCGTATAGATGAGCATGGCTTTGAGAGAACCACCATTTCTGATATCTTGAAAGAAAAGGGTAAAGGGGCTGATGGCTCCTGGCTTTGGTGCACAGTTGAAGACACGGTTTACGATGCTGTTAAGTCGGTATGCGACTTTTATCTTCCTCTATGTTTTGTACTACTGAATTCATTTCTTCATGTCTGGTTGCTTGGCAAGCTCATCAGCCATGGACATCATCTTTATCTTTACAGATGACACAACACAATGTGGGAGCGTTGTTGGTTGTGAAGCCTGAAGAGGAAAAGTCGATTGCTGGTATCATCACAGAAAGAGGTATATGAACATGAAAATATTGGCTCTTTTCTTTTTGAGATTTTTGCCTCATGTAGATCAACCATATTCTTTTTTCATCATGAACTCATCGATGGACTGTATAAATCAATCATGTTCATCACCCAGTTATGTAGTGTAGGAGTACAAAGCTTGGACTAGAACGAAATAATTAAGTGTTTAAACCTTGGTTTTAAAAAGCGCGCCTCGGGCGCGCCTCGCTCCCAGGCTCAGGGAAATGGGATTTAGCTAGGTGAGGCTCAGTCACTTACAGAAGGCGCGCGCCTCGTGCGCCTCAAAGCGCCTTTGGTAAGGTGTGCCTTTGCGCTTCAAGAAAAATAACTAAGATTTAAGTTATAAATTGAAGAATGATGGGCAGTTTTTCAAATTCAGACTACCTTAGCTTTACATATATCATTATTTAATTTATTATGAATCTTTTTAATTGGTATTAAGTACAATCAAAGTAAAAAATATTTTGAAATAAATATATAAATACATGCGCCTTGCATACAAAAGGCGCGCGCCTTCGCCTTGCGCCATGCGCCTAGGTTGCAATGACCATTTGCGCCTTGGTGCGCCTTGTTCCTTTCAAAACTAAGGTTTAAACTTGTAGCCGGAAAATTATCATAATATAATTCAATTATGTTTGTAATTTCTGAGTTCACTTACATCATACATTCAAGTTTAACTGACTTTAAATCATTGCTTCTTGGATGAATAATCTTGGAATCGCTCTCTAAATTTTCACTGGTCTTGGAACTAATATAATTCTTCTAGACCTTGAAAAGCTATAGCTTTCTACATAGTGCTCCAGTTCTCTAGGAATTGTTCCAAAAAGTATGGTCTTGACTTTTGATTGATGAAGAAAGATTGATCAGCCCGTATGTGCAGATGTTGTAGGACACACATCAAATCCTTGAGTCAACACTTTTAGTGCACCATGAAGTTTTTTTTGTTTTAATGAATCGTGATCAACTCAAGCAACTAATTTTGCGTGCCTGTCATGCTATGCTAACTTTGAGGATAAATAATTTAGTAAGCTACTTATGTCTCCTACTTGATCTTTCATGCTATCTATTGATAGTGAAGATGACGTCCTTGGCTATAATGGATATCAAAGGATGAGAATCATGAAGAAAATTTTGCTAAATTCAGTAAGATAAAACTATAGAGGTAATAGATGTTAGAAGTATCAGCAAAGAAACTGATACAACTTGGTAATTAGGTATCCCATTTCATCATCAAATAAGGATTTTAAGACATGTGAGGACCAGGAAGTTCCGAGATGCAATTGATAGTAATCAGGGTCTATCTGATGGTTTAAGGGTGCATTGTAAGGTAACATGACTGACTGAGCTTAATTAAATCTAGTGTAAGAATTTGAATTGTGGATTGGGAATGGAATTGGGAAGCACTCTAAAGATTGCATCAATTTGAGAATAGTGCATTTCATCTAAAAATAATTTGGGTTTTTGATCAGTTTAAGATGGATGTTTAGAACTCGTTAAAAGTTTGAATTTTGTCAGCAAGATTATTGTGTGCTGAATATACTGATCCATGGCATTCTTAGGTTTGATTGGAGGGTCAAAGTTCTCTAATGGTTAATTTAATAAACACTATAAGGCGTTGCAGGGTTGACAAATTCACTCATGGATGAGTGATTCTCATATAGGATCTGTTGATTGCAGATTTGTTGAGTTGAGGGCTTATGGAACTGATTCTCTGTAAACTTTTATACGTACATTTCATGCTAAATGCTGTTAACAAAAGCATTATGACAGGACTTATAAAAGTTTCTTTTTGGTATTCTAGATTATCTGAGGAAAATCATAGTGCAAGGAAGATCCTCAAAGTCTACCAAGGTTGGTGACATCATGACTGAGGAGGTATGTGGCATCTTACCCTACCTTACTCGGGACAGATATGTTGGTACTTGGTATTAAAACTTATTGGACTTTCTCATGTCTTATTATGCCTGGTTTGTGTGCAGAACAAACTTATTACTGTTACACCTGATACCAAGGTTCTGAAGGCAATGCAATTGATGACTGGTTAGTTGATTGAAATTGCTGCCTCTTTTTCTTTTTACTTTCCCTTGTCATTTAGGGGTGCCTGCTAAACCTGAATGATCTCTTACAACGTTTTGGGTGGCAGATAATCGCATTCGACACATCCCAGTGATTGATGATAAAGGGATGAAAGGTATGGTGTCTATTGGCGACGTAGTCCGTGCGGTGGTTAGTGAGCACCGAGATGAGTTAGACCGCTTGAATGCATTTATTCAAGGGGGATACTAAATGATGACGATAACACTTTGTTTTACGCCTGTCATAAAGTTTCAGAAAACCTTTGACTACAGGCTTCAGGCCTGTGAATGTATATGTTGTTTCCATTTGTTTTATGGTTGTTCATCCTTCTGGATATCAGATCAGTGTATGAAATACCAGGACATGTGTAATGGATTTTGTGCTAATAATAGGGTGAAACTAATGATATGCTTCATTAGGAGAAATCTGATCTTGTAGTTTTTATTGCTTTTAATTACTTGGGTAAATTTGCAATTGCTTGTTCTGAGGTCACTGATTTAGGGATTTGTTTGTTGGTTATGT